TTTTGTCCGCGCATATTCATTGACGATCCTGTCTCCTCCTGGTTTGTTCTTTAGAACATTTTCAATCATCTAAAGTGATGGTAAAAATATAAATCGATACGTTGCAAAAACACTGTACACAAGACAATTACAAATCCTATTTTATTCCATAAAAAAGAGATAGTATTAAAAGAACTATAATAGTTATTAGTGGAATAGTAAGTTATGTTAAAAAGCACAAACAAAACTATAAGAACTTAAATTTTTTGGGAAGTCCAGAGCCTTCTATGCTAAGGATCTGGACTAAAATGTGCAGAGATATGCTGAAGGAAAAAAACACAGAAAGTGGTTTTAAGAGAGCAATTTATATAATGTATTCAAATTTTGTAAAAACTCTATGGAAGTCTGCACAGTAATCTGCATAGCTTACTTGGGCAAGAGAGGTGTCTTCAGCTCTATGTCTTGTTACAGGACTGTGTTGCAATATAATGGTGTCATCGGAGTCCACTTCAGTTTCTCCACTGGAGCTGGTGAAGGAGCTGCTTGCTGCACAGCTTAGCTGATCCATAGGATTATCTAAACATTTTGTTGGTAGAATTAACAGTAGTCAACACTAAAATTGAGAAAATGGTTCTCTCCCAAAAACTTTTTTTATATATAAATTAAGGTCACCTGATGAGCTCTTCTCACAAGAAACAGTATGATACAAACATAGATAACTCATGCACATTTATCTGTGTTCATTGTGATGAACCACTGAAACACTAGAAATAGGCCAAACCGTGAATGGTCTGTGATGTAAGATGTTTCCACATGTTGTGTGAAATGCTACAAAGGTGAACGCTTTTATGATCTCATCCTAGATTGGTGATATCAAATGGACATCAACATGTCTATACTGATCTGGAAAGACATTTCTATCCCTATTGGTCAAACCCATAAGGATGACCAAAAATAGTTCACAAAAATAAACAAATGACACTTTGCAACACCTTACCTTCTGGATGGAGATCTTGTGCTTCACAAATTTCCAGCACACCAAGGTTTGGACTTTTCAAAAGGAGCTCAAAAACCTCCTCATCCACTTCAGTCTTAGAATCATCAGAAACTTTTAAGTCCAAGGTTGGGATGCTGAACTTTTTTGCAGCTATGAACATAGCAAATTATTTATTTATTATATATTTGAACATATGTAAATAACAATTAAAAGACATTATAAATTAAAATTAAGTAAAACAGAATAATAAATCAGAAAAGTTGGTAAAGCACCCATTATGGCAACATTCCCAAAACGTTTTTGATAAACACAATATATGAAAATGTTGGAAACTTGTTTTGTTTGCACTCACCACATTCCAAAAATGAACTGTAAGTCAGTTGGCCTTCAAAACAGATGTATTTCTGTCGATCTCTATGTTTGACACGCACAGCTTGCATCCTGCATTATGTAAAATATGATATTTTTCAATAACAAATTATTATATATTATTCACTTTGATAACATACTTATCGAAGGGAATAAAAAAAATTAAGATAAGAGGTTGAAACTATCATGGGGAAGAAGCACTTGGTGGCTAACAAATATCCTTAATGGGCTCTTAATGAGCTAGGCGCTCTTGAATTTAGCCAATCAACACAACTAAAACGAAAACAAAACCACATCAGTTCCATACAACTCGATGCAAACGGGGTTTATGGACTAAATAGTCAATCACAATGTTTTACTGACAACTTACAGTTTGCATACAAAGCACAACTTTAATTATATATTTTTAATTGCTGCTCTACGTTCAAGAGAAGTTACTAGCATAGCCCTCCCGCGCCATTTTCTGGGCGGGACACATGCTAGCAGAGCTAGCTTCGATTGTACAGCTAGCTCCTCTTTTAAACTCCGTTCCTTAGCTTAAAATAGCAACAGCCTTGACTTATGCAAATAAAAAATGGACGTAGCATTGTACAACACTGATGTTTTTTTTCTGCTTACATTGTTGTAAACGGCTACATTAAGTTAGCTGAAGCACACATGCTAACTAGTTAGCCAACCATGTTAATTCCTCGCTGCACCCCTCCTTCCCCCACGACCACACAGCAGCACGTCATCTTTCCGCTAGAGATAATTAGTGTTAATAATAATAAAAAACAAATAAAACCCCACATGAAATATGTTTACAACCCATTTGGGCACTTACCTGGCACAAAGCAGACCGTCGCCTCCGGTCCAATGCGGGAAAACAAAATGGTGGAAGAAACGAAACTTAACGAACTTCAGTGGGCGTTTTTCTTGTTTTACTCCGATATGATTTACTCTGTTTTTTTCCTCCGATTCTATTGACCAATTGACACGATTTTACTCTATAATGTATAAACATGACTCTTTTAGATGAAAATAATGTTAACTCCGAAAAAATTACTCTTCTATTTTTCCTGTGTACTTACAGAGACTACGTAGCTTTCTCTGCTGTGGAATTAAAATACATTATTCTGCACGGTCTTTGTCAATTTGGTCTGCAACCAAATACAGACGTCAAAAAGGGGGAAAATGATGCAACGCTTGAACTTGGATTATGTTTAATGTCAAATTTATTCATGATATTTATTCTCCAACACAATTACAACATTTGAACTGTGCAAATTTGTACATTTTCACAAATCCAAACTCAAAGGTGCGTGTGATTTCATAACGTTGTGCTGGCATCGCAGACATCCTTGTCACTGGGTTGTCATATAAAAACAGCGCCTTACATACTTACATATATATATATATATATAAATGGTGCCTTTTAAATCAGTGAGTTGTTTTGATGGAATGGCCGATATTTAACTTTATTGCCAATATTGGCCGATACGATACCATGCTGATAATATCATGCGTCCCTTCTCTGAGCCCTTATTTCACTCGGCTCTGATCTGGTTAGAGAATAAAAGTGATTGTGAGGACTTTAAGGTGCTCCAACAGTAACCAAACACTGCTGAGGACAAAATGCATGAGTGAAAACTGTCCTTGTAAAAAGGAGCGCAGAGGTCAACGTTTGCAAAAAACTCATTGGTGACAAATTATTTAAAGATACTCGTTGCAGAACTTTGAAATGGCGCAGGAAAAAGCGTTACCGTCAACTATAACAAATGGTGCATTCTGAAGGAGTTTACTCCAGTCGTTTTCCAGATGTGTGGGTCCACACTCGACGTAAACAAAGCGCTATTCAGGTGAATCTGCTCCTGGACTCAAAGGGAATGAGACAGACTGAGGAAGACGACTGTCAATCATCCAAACACGCATGACTTTTACAAAACTTCTGCTGAAACTCGAAGGTTTGACCCGTTTTCTGCAACTTCTGCTGTTTCCATATGTAAACAAACATGTGGCTGATGGGTCACAGATACTGGTTGCAAACCAAACCAGACCTAAATATTGTGCAGGTTTTGTTTATTAGTTATTTATGAGCCCCTTTAATAATTAAACTTTTAATGATAGGAGCTGTTGATGCAAACTATTTGTTTTCATGTGACAGAAAAACAGCAGTTTTTGTTTTTAATATATAGAAATGTGATAAGTGTTTAATTAATCTTATTAGTGTCGTGCGTCATAACTTACCACTTCGAGCACTTTTAAAATCCCAAAGTGGGACCTGAGGTACTCCAGGTCGCACCTTATTCCCCCCAGAACGTTCCGCGCGTGCACGGGTTCGGTGGTGGGCTGGTACGGGCTGCTGGCCCCGGAGATCATGGAGGTGTTGGAGGCCTCGCAGTCAAAGCCTTCCGTCTCCTCCGTGGTCCTCATGGCTTCCGGGTGCGGTGGGTGCTGGACCCTTGACCGGGACTGGTTTGATCAGAATCTACCTGAGCTGGGCTCACTTTGCCCCGTGCAGGCTGGACGTGGACAAACCGAACCGGGCGGTCCACTTCTCATCGCCTCCCCGCGGTGAACGCTGAAGCTGTAGATGCTCTGGAACAAGACGCGGAGGGAGAAAAAAAAAAATCAAGGCTGCAATGTGTCGTGCTGATGTCACTCCGCGGCGTAACCTCCTCCCGCCTGGGAGAGCGGAGCGGAGCTTAGGATCCGAGTGTCACGAGTTCGAATCCCAGCGCTACTCGCTGAGATATTTAAACTATGTCTGTGTAACGTCAGTCGAGGGTGTGCGAGTCGTTTCGAAAACCAAAAAAAAAAATGAGAAAAAAACAGCAAATGTAGCTCGAACCCCCGTAAAACCTGCGGGGCTTCCGTTGCAAACTCCCAGCGGGACGCAAGCTGCCTCCAGCCGCTGCTCCGCTCGATGTGGACGGAGCTGCTGGTTCTGTCTCCGCCCCTCTGAAAAACTGCACATTCTTCAGAGTCCATTTTATTCCAGAACAGCCTGTAAAACGAGCCCAGTCCGAACCGAACTCACATGCATTTTTTTATTTATTTTTTTTCCAGGATCTTCTTTCTTCTTTTGATCCATCTCTGGCAGCACATTCTGACGGATGCTTTGATGCTGAACAAACAGCTCGCAAACATCCCAATAAAATCACTCAAGTAAATAAAATGTTATTAATGGAATAAACAATACTGCGCTTTCATGTAGAATATTTATATATTTAGAGTTGCAATGCTAAATTACTAAATCCTCACGGTTGTAAAATGTGCCTCCATGTACTTTACCACCCCCTTGTGGTCATTAGTGGCATTACAGCTGCGCGACGCCCTGAAATTGAAGCGTTTGTAAATGATGTCATGACAATTTGCTGTTGGGAGTTATGTTATAGGTCTGTATACCTTTAGAGGTTGTTTTTTGTTCCTCAAGATTTGCTTTGATTTTTATGATAAGCTAAACTGATTTGTATTTTTTGTTTTTCATTCAAAACTTTATTTATACAGGTTAATCCCATTGAGCCTTGTGGACTCACTTACAAGAGAGATCTGAATTTTAACAAAGAGTGATAACAGTGGACAACAACAACAATAAACGATCAAAGGATGAGTACAAATTTTATTTTTCTACATCAATAAATATATATATAAACATAAACGGGGAGGCGCCCAGGGAGCATCTTTACCAGATGCTTAAACAACAACTGGCTCCTCTTGATGTGGAGGAGCAGTTCTACTCAGAGTCTGTCCCAGATAACTGAACTTCTCAGCCCATCTCTAAGGAGTCCAGCTACCCTGCAGAGGAAACTCATTTCAACTGCCAATCTCATTCTTTCAGTCACCCAGAGTTCATGGCCATAAGTGAGGGTAGGAACGATGACGGAGCGGTTGAAAGCTTTGCCTTACAGTTCAGCTTCTTCTTCACCACAACAGACCGGTACAGTCTGCAATACGTACTGCAGACGCTGTATCCCACATCTGCTGTATAAAAACAAAAAACCTTTCCTCAGCACTTTGCTTTCAGACTGCAGGTTTACTTGTGGTTCCTAGAGTTTCCAAGAGCAGAATGGGCAGCAGATCTTTCAGTTATCAGGCTCCTCTCTAGTGCATCAGACTGACTCGTCCACTTTTAAGACTGGGCTTAAGACTTTCCTTTTTGATAAATCCTTTAGTTGGGGTCAACTTGAGTTTCCTGAGCTATCCCTTAGTTATGCTGCTATAGGCTTAGATTGCTGGAGGACAAATTAACCACGTCCTCACTCTGCTGCTGCCTTTACTTGCTCTACTCTCCCCGTTCGTATTTGTAATTTCTATCTTAACATGTTTTTTTGTCTTTCCTCCTATAAGTTCATCTGGACCTGCTTCTGTTTGTTTGTTCCTACTTCCTGTTCCTCTCAAACCCCAGCCGGTCAAAGCAGATGTCTGCTTGTCCTGAGCCTGGTTCTGCTAAAAGGTCTCGTCTTGTTAAAAATTGAGTTTTTCCTTTCCACTGTCTCCTTTGTGCTTGCTCGGGAGACTGTGACGCAGATTCAACACAATCAGCTGCTTCTTTCGATAACTTTTTATTAATTGGCTTTTTTCCATGTATATGAATGTTTTTGTACAGTGCCCTGAGACGACTTCTGTTGGGACTTGATGCAATATAAATAATGTGAAATAAATTCCTAACAGCACCATCAAGTTTCCATCAGTTAAGTCAGGTCCTCTGGACTGTTTTTGTTTAAACGTTTCGTCTTTTGGAATAAAAAATGAACCGTTTCAATAAAAAGAAATAATCCGTCCACAGGACCCGTTGGATTTTTCTACCTGGATTATTGAGCATGAATCAGAATACCATCAAGTTTCATTAAATTATCTTGAGCGAATCAGAAGTTAAGGCCCAACAAGAGAAATGGCACGTACACTAGGAGATGCGTCCATTTTAAACGTTATAAAAATGGCTACAACTCGGTCGATTCTACAAACTTTTAGCTCAGATTTGATGCAGTTGTGGCCGAGATAAAGACGAGCTTTTCAAAGTTTCAGCATAAAAACGTTACCAGGACACAATTCAGGTGTTTGAAACAAGTTTGACTTGGGGGGGGAATTAAACAGAAAGGTCAAAACTACAATTTCAATACCTGCAATAATAAAAAAGAACAACAGACACAAAGACTACAGGCTTGTATTCTTGGTTTTATTGAAGCAAAGGGTTTGATAAACAATTTCCTTATCTTTGTCGGCATAAGAAGCTAGAATCCACAAGGCGGCTTAGAGGATACAGAATTGTGTTAAAGACGTACAATCAAAGTTGTGAATTAATCCAGGACACACAAAATACAGCCAGCCATGTGCTTCAAACGTCCCGACATCCTGAAGAGAAAAGGACTGGAAGCAGGAGCTCGGAGTCTCGTACACACGGAGACGGTGGATAGTGGTCGAAGGCCATTCAGTTAGGATGTGAGGAGGCAGCTGCTTTCAGCTCCCGTTTCAGTACAAAAGTTAACTCCTGCTCTATTTCATTAGAATTAAACAAACTTTACAAAAAAAAAAAAAAAAAAAGCGAGTTCAACCCTGACACCACGGCAGCACGAGAGCAATTCATTCCACTCAACAAAAAGCCCCAAATTAATAACTGGCTGCGAACGATCGGCACGAATCAGGGCGGTCCGTCGGGTCAGAGACGTTTAAACGTTTTAAAAACTAAAAAAAAAAAAAAAAGGTTTGACGGGAAATGCTTAATCTGAATAAACTCAAAACTTGGGCGCAAAAAGATCAAATCTGAACATCCCTCCAAGAACGTTTGCATAAAAAGTGCTTCAAATTGTGCTTCACCTGTTTCAGCAGATGTGTGTGTGTGTGTGTGTGTGTGTGTGGGGGGGGGGGGGGGGGCAGTTTTAACTAAATGGATAAAGAACACATGAATATTTTAACCCAAAAAGAAAAAATTTACAACATTACGCCCTTTTTGTTATTTACTTCCAGCTCAAATGTATTAAAATAAAAAGTCCAGGCAGCCCCCGTTGGCAAAACATTTAGAGCGGTTCACCATAAACGTGCACTTTACTCCCCTCCCTGCGTGCTGAAGCTCCAGATGGAGCAGACTGGGCCGTTTCGACCAGTTTACAGGGTGTCGCGAAGAGTTTAAAAGGCAGGTCTGCTGGGTGGAATGCAACCGCTCCTTGCAAGAGAACAAAAAAAAAAAATGAAATAAATAAAAAGTGCCACAGGTTAATGAGAAATGCAAAAAGCAGTGACTAATATGCATCTTTGGTTCAATGTTCCAATTCACACCAGTTCCTTTTTCATCTTTGCCATTAACTGAACAGCAATTAGCTGCTTTTTTTAAACCATTCCTGTAAAAAACAAACAAAAACTATTTTGTACACTATCTGTATGATTCAGTAGGGCCTTGAGTACATGGTTCATGATCGAGGACTGCGATGTCACACGAGAAATATTAGATATGACGATGATGATGATGATGATGATGATGATGAGGTACAGTAGAGCTGTGACAATGATAAAAGACAATCAAGAAACCCCTTAAAGACGCAAGCGAGGAGTTTTCCCATGAAGGCAGCTGTACATTGAAGGCAAAGGTCGTCGCTTTAAAACGAGCTCTAAAGCAACAAAAAGACCCGACTGGACGAGCAGGTTTCCTACGTTCTACAGCTACTTTACGTAGGAACTGGGAATGTTTTAACAAACATGCAGTGGAAAATAACGAGAAACCAGACAAAGAAAAGTGCCGTCCAACAATAAAAGGAGAAAATATTTTTTTGTTGATGCTTTTTTTTTGTTGTTCAAACAGCATAAAACTGAGTAATCAGGCTGCTAATGAGTGGTTTCAACCACAGCAGGTCTAGGGGATCTAATATAAAGTTATCTTTTGTGGTTTCTTCATACCAGCAGCCAGTTCAGTTTGTGTGAAGGCATTCTGTTGATTACATTAACTAGGCTACAGAGATCCTTTTGAAAAATAAGACCACGGGCTTTTTGTTTGTACATCAACAACGATGCAAAACAGAATAAATGATTTGGGTCATCAGGAAATGAGCAGAAACCTTTCAACCAGTGGTGCTATAGTGCATTTCCTCAAGTGTAGACGAGCACCTCTACTACGACCCTAACGGCTAACTGTGCGAGGCACTTCGGAGTTTTAGTAGGAAAGATGTTCGACCCCCTCCCAAAATATACAAACAAGTAGCTAAAGAAGCTGCGACTTCTACGCCCGTCAAATCCCGTCCGGTCTCGTTTAGTCCAAAAAGCCGTTTTCACAATTTGGACAGAAACAACATTTTGTACAAAGTTAAATAACCTGAATCTGGTTTTTGTACTTCTATCTACAGAATCCTTCGAGACGACGAGGGCGAACGATACGAACCATCCGTTCTCTGGACATGTTACATTAGTGTCGTGTTGTCAGTGACGTTCAAACACGTTAGGTGATGCAATAAACGTTTCCTTAAACCAGGATATGGTGCAGAAAATAAAATAAAAAAAAAGGAGAACCTTTGTATAAATACATCATATCCAACATGTTTTTTTTTTTTACATAAGACAAAGGTTTGCAAGTATTTTAATTCCTTTCTCAATATTTAAATACCTTTCCAATCGCGATCATATTCCTTCCTGGAGATAAGACGAGCTAGAGGCCACAAGGCCAGCGCGTTATCGCTCTTCAAACTCCGTGAGGAGAGCGGTTTTAACCCCAGAAACTGGGGGGGCCTGCAGCCCGGAGCATCAGGCTGGCTGCCAGGGAGTGTGCACACATTTCAACAAACTGACATCCTTCACAAAAAATAGCATTTACAGTGGAAGAGAGGACAGAAATAAAGCCAAGCCTTCAGCACGTCCCATCTCTCCTCCTGATCACAAACTGTGCGCTCACTGATATAGGCGTTGGGAATTTGGTCAATGTTTTTGTTTATGCTCGCATGTACAGATATTGTTTTGTATTTCCAGAGTATTAACGCGGTGGATGATGCAGCTGTTCTGTTGCCTTCACGCTTCGTTCTCCGTCGGCGGTACGTTGTTAGCTGAAACCACGGGGTCCTGCTTGCGAGTCATCCTGTCCAACTCGGCCTGGACGTCAGTCAAACCCGGCTTCTGCCCTTGAGGAAAGAAAAAAAAAAAAGGGAGACAAAGCCCAAAAGTAATCTCCTGTAGCTTCTGTGTAAGGTCGTAAGAGTTTTCCATGGTGAGGAAGCGGATGGGTGGGGTTTAGATGGTGACGTGTTCCCATGCTGTGGCGACTCGCTGCCACGGTTAACACACATGCAGAACGTAAAGTAACACGGAGTCGTGCGTTTATCCTTCGACGTGTGTACAGCGCTACAACAAAGAGTACATCAGAGGCTCTGAGGCAGAGTGATGAAGTATGCAATGGATTTTTCAACTAGGAACATTTAGCTTTGATTGGTTATGCGAGAAAAATATAAAAGTAAAATATGTTCAAAACAGCTGAAGTACTTAAAACAAGGTGAGAGAGCAGAGGAGTAATGTTAGTTTCCGTGCAGACACTTGTGATGGGTGGTGTCACAAGTCTCCTCAGGAGTCAGGAGTTTGGTCAAAGCAGACATTAGGCCTGTCCCGATAAAAAATTTTGCTGGACAATTAATGGTCTCAGAAATTATTGCGATAAACGATAATATTGTTTGAAATTTGACAATAATTAGTAATTATTATCAAATTTACGAAGAAATGTTTAATTTGTTTTGCATGTAGTACCTTTTTTGACCACCGGATGGCAGTATAAGACTGTTTGAACCGAAGGAAGGATAGTGAGGGAGCGAGCAGCGTGCCTTTAAAAAAAAAAAAATGGGAGGGAGGCCCCTTGACGTGATGCGTCCGGGGCTGTCTCTCTTCGGTTCTCAAAATGGCGGACGCTCGGTGTGGTCTTAGCATAGCATTTTTCACACAAAGCTTTTAATTAAAAAAAATAAAATAAAATCAGTAAACAAGTTCTCAGTTTCTTTTTGCAGAGAAAAACAACTTTTTACACGAAGGCACAGATTTCAACCGTAAATTTTGGAGCTTCGACAAAACAGATACCCCCCCCCCACCCGAGGTCGACATGTTAGCTTAGCTCATAGCTTAGCTTCTCAGCGTAGCTGCTTTCAACAATCCAAAAACGCGGTTTTGGATTGTTGAAATGGATTTTAAAGAGAAAAGAGAAAGGTAGGAGTCAGAGAAGAGCACCGAGGTTGAGCCTTTTGTCATCCAGTGTCTTCAGTAGAGAGAGACACGAAGAAACGATAAAGCCGATAAATTAAAATGAGGTCGATAATTTTAATTTATCATGCGATTAATTGATTTATTGTTTATCGTGACAGGCCTGGCAGACATCTTTTCTTTTTCCTGCTTTAAGCATCTTACTCAGGCTGCAGATAGAAAACTACAGACAGCAATAATGCCCGCAGCCTCTCAAATGTCCCCCACTCCTAGCTTGATGCTTATATACAAGCAGCCACGGCTCTGACGTTTGAATGTTTGAAATGCTGCAACGAACCATTAATTTCAATGTTTATGGAATATTGTCTCCAAAACGGTGGCGTCTCGTACGCTGCTAAAAACAATCGTGCAGCTTTGCACTTCAGTAGTAAATGCTGCTTAGAGAGGACAAGATGAAGTTCCTGAGGCAGCTGGTTTTGGTCGGGGGGAGTTCCTATTAACATGTCCCAATAAAACTTCATGCATATTTGTTTAAGTATAACAATTTTGGGTTTTGGTAAATGTTTTTGTAACAAATGATTCAGTTAAAAAAAAAAAAAAGTGTTTTATTTAAAGAAATTAAGTTGAAATAATCTATTTATTTGGCCAATGTAGTCTTTAAAAAGTATAAGTTGTGTATTTTTTCCCTCTCTCATGCACGTTTTCTCTTTAAAATACATTTAAAAACTCCGTTTTGATTCATCAGCAACGCGGTCCACGTGACTAAAACATGAACGAGTTGCAGTGAAGACATAAGAAGTGATCCTGAAACTTGTAGAGTTGCTCTGGGTGTTTTCAGTTAGGAGCATCACAGCTGCTTATAATAAATTATACTATTGTCTTTTCTCCTCTTCGTTTGATAAATTGTAATGGTTTTATTGGTGTCTATATTGAAAAAATACTGTTCAAAGACATTTTCTGATGTTGGCCGTCTACATATTAAAAAACAGTTTTTGTCTAAAGGTCAGAATGTTTTGTGAAAGAACGTCGGTTAATATGCGAGTAAGACGCTTTAACTGGAAAGTAAACCTCAGCAGTTCGACGGTCAGCACAGGAACCACGAGTTGTACCTGTTTTCTTGCCAGATCCTTGAACTCCAGCTCCAACGGCTCCAGATCCTGGACTTCCTGGGGATCCCGTCTTTTTACTCAGCAGACTGTTGAAGAAGTTGGCCAGCACTCCCTCATTAGCAGCACCCGCTGAACAAAACACATTTCTGTATTATTATTGCAGGTTTTGCACATTTCATTTAAAAACATCCATCAGCCAACACACTGCCAGTTCTCTGAGATCATTGGCTGACGAGTTAACATAAAACTGTTCATATATTATTTTAAAATATCAAATTACACATATAATAGATGCATACACAGATCTAAATGGCAGATACGATGTTTACACTTGCTACTCTTTTCTAAAACAGGCCAATGCTTTTTTATTTTGTGAAGTTGAAAACAAATCTAAACACCATTTCCATAAAGCTGTAATCAGTAATAATATTTAAATGTATCAGCAAAATGTTTTAAGTAGACATAAACACAGAAAACTTTAGTTCCCGAGAACTGATTTGTAAATAAACTTGTAAGAATCTAAAATAAAGTATAACTGTACGATGTTGCTTTGCTTGTATTTGTATGTTTAAGTAAACGTAATTTTAATTTTCAGAGGAATATACGACAGCTGAAGTTCTTGTGAGCGGCATGTGTAACGCCTGCAAACTTGTCTCCACATATTGCCTATGTTTGCTCAAGAGCCCTACAGAACCTCACTGACCTACACAAGGCGAGGTCAGTGAACAAGGTCAGGCAGATTCTGGCAGATCCTGATCACCCACTCCATGGTGAGGTCAGGTTGCTTCCATCTGGACGCAGGTATCTGCTGCCCAGATGTAGGAGGAACAGACTGGAAAACTCATTCATCCCTGTAGAGATGAGGCTTCTCATCGAGCAGTGATGATTTCTGTAAAGTTATTTTAATGTCGTGTCTAGTATGACTGTTTCATGTTCTACTGACTGTGAAACAAATCGCCCCTTGGGGAAAATAAAGATTCTTGAACTATGTTCAACACACGAGAAATTTATTTTCCTGTCCAATACTTGTGAAGCGTTTGTTTGAACTTTTTCTTAAAATAATTTTCTACCTTTTAATTTTCTTTAACTTGTCCAAGTTCCTCACTTTTGTGACATTAATTAGTGAAAAACATAAGAACGTCAACACATATTCTTAACTGTATTTGTGTAAATATCAGTAAACTCACATTTCATGGCTCATTTTTACCCAAGTCAGGTGACTGATAAGACTTTTTTTTAGCTGATGCAGATCTTCGGTATCAGGGCAGCCGATGGCCGATACACAACATATTTGTTTTAATTTATGGACTCTCTATTTTCCATTTAACAAAAAAAAAAAAAAGCTTGATTTAAATAAATATAAATCTGATCAAATTTAGAAGAATTTGTGCACGTAAAAATAATCCACAGAAGAGCATTCTCACTTAAAACAAATTGTGGACTATACTTGCACAGTGCTTGCATCCTCCTTGGTAGTTAGCTCCGTACACTACCTTAAATAATGTTAACTGAGCTTTTATGTATATGAATGTATTTGTTCAGTGCTCTGAGATAACCTCTGTTGTAACTTAGCGCTATATAAATAACCTGAAGTGAATTAAACTGTATTAGAATAGTTAATTGTGAACAGGCATGGGTGACTGAAGAATAAAAAAAGGCCAATAGACCAGTTAATGGGTCTATCTCCACCCGAGTGTGTCAAGCTTTATGAATTATTATATTGTTTACTTTTGAGGGTAGTAGAATAACCTTAAAAAAAATCTCAGCAGGTGACAAGGGAGAACTGAGGTTTTAAGTGTCTCTCTCACTGATAGAGTGTAAAAAAAAAAAAAAACAGCCTCACCTTTCATGTTGGGATCAGGCTTTTTGACGGCAGCCATCGGTGAACCGCTGGTTACACTTGGTTGTCCGGCTCGACCCGCAGGCCTGGGGGATGCTGAGGCTGTCCGTCCTGGAGACTCCTGAAACACAAAGCAGGTTAGTTCGCCAATCTAGAAAAGAATAAAGATCCCGCCCGTGAAGGATTTAAGACACTTACCGTAGCTCCTCTTGTTGGCGTTGCTGGCTGCTTTGCTAACAAAGACTGCAGAGCGAAAAAAAGTTTTTATGGTTAATCCAAGTTTACGCTTTAGAAACACTTATTTACAATTATTTTATTTTGAAAACCTACATATTCTATATAAGATACACAAAGGAGAAGGGGAGAAAACTATTAATTATGGTTTGCTTCCTTATTAGATTTATTTATCCACAAAAAGCCGATGAGCGACATAACTTCAAATGCAGCATTTCCCACATAAATAAAACTGTTGAACATTAAAAACAGCACTGAGGCATTTTAGGAGAATACATTTTACCTGTTGCTTCATCAGGAACACTTGCTCGTCCTCTGCGTTGATCTCTTTGTCATGAACAAACTGAGAAGCAAATAAATAAAGATTTTATGGCCTCGGCTGTAAGAAGCTGACACAACCTTCTGTAACATTATCTGTCCAGGATTTGCTCTTCCTTACCTTCCGCACTGGAGGCTTTGTGATAAAATCTTCAAATGGATCATCTGGTCTAACGTTTGTGAGGTTTTCGTGCAAAATCCCAATTTTCTTCTCATTATCCCATCCAGATGGACTAAAAAAAAAAAAAAAAGGGAAGAAGCGTGTTCATGTGTTTCGAGGTAGTTTGTAGACAATTTAAAATCACATGAAAATTAGAATTATCGTGCGACATTAAAAGAAAATTCAAGCATGCGTTGACACCAACGTAACGTAAATCTGTCGCGACAAAAAGCGAACTTGCACATCTTTTACGTACATGAACACTGCGTCTTTCTCCACCACTAAGGCAGGTGAGGTGAACTGAAACTCGTACAGCTTGTGTACTATATATTTATAAAGCAGATCCAGGTTCTTCTCCTCTTTGACGGAAGAATAAACCAGGCCAGCTCCATCTGTTGAACTCAGTTAAAGGTGTAAATGAAAGAACAAAGTCACGGACTGACAACAAAACGGTCATACAGAAACTCAATGACGGCATTTATTTAAACAGTCTGTATTAAAAATATAAAGACTCCTCTGAATAACAAAGCACTGAAACCACATGAAAAGGATACACTGTAAGCAGAATCGCCTGATGTGGGACTGGATGAAATCAAAGTGCTCCTCTCTGTAGTCATGCTCCTTCTCTAGGACGCTGATCGCATCACACTGACCAAAAAACAGAAAATTTATATTTCTGTGAAACAAATAAAACGGTGCAACAAAGCATGACAAGTGGTGTGCTAATCAATTCATTAACTCTCAATAGCTTTATGTAGGTAAATGTAGCCTTTTATGTTTCAGAAAAAAACAATTCCAACTGTATTTACCTGATTTTGTTTTACATTTCTGACAAATGTAAGGTTGTACATGCACATTTGTTTTTAGAAAGGTCTCAGAAAAGTTTTGAGGTGGAGGAGTTGAACGTGGGGGAACAGAAACGTTAAACTAATTGTTAAGAAGACATGATGCCACAAAACAAGAAAGTCAATGAAAACTGTTCAGGAAGTAAGAATGAGGGGTTCAAACATTAACAGGCGGGTAACAAATCATTTAATGAGGATACAAAGAGGCTTCTTCCACCTAAAAGGAGTGAACAGATTTTAGTGCGACTGTTTTAACAAGTACTACAATGAACTCCACATGTGTCAAGTAAAAACTGATGAGCGCACCAAAAACCTGAGTACCGTATTTTTCGGCCTATAAGTCGCGGTTTTTTTTTTTTGCATCATTTGCATGCCCTACCACTTATACACTGAAAGAACGTATTTGTGGATTTTTCCCCATATTTATAAAACAATTTTTGGCTGAGATATGACCGTTTTCATTAATTCTGACTGAAAATATTAAACACTACCATTTTCAGCTGCTAGATGGCACTCGAGTTGTACGGCATGCCGCTCGCTGGTTGTGTCATGTAATAGGTAAAAGTGGCTGTTAATGACACAATCAGCTTGTTAAAGACAGCCACAGTCGTCCAGCTCGCTGCGCTGCCCTGGCGAAATGCAGCTAATTTCACCATTGAAGTGCATTCATCAAGAAAAAGTTCAACTGAGACGTTCCTTTACTATAATGTCGAGCAAACAAATAATTGTTTTTATGTGGTTATCTTGTTAAATTTTTTTTAAAAGCACAGCGAGTCGCCCTCTGCGCGTTTCTGTTTCCGCGTATCGGCTTTTGAAATACAGCTGATTTGACAAAGTGCATTTTTTTTAAGGAAAAGTTCAATGATTCAAGGTTTATTTGTCGTTCGCATCACATGTGGTACATGTGGTGGAACAAAATTGTGTACACAGGGTGCCAGTTAGACTGAGACACACGTTTGCTATAATTTCAAGCAAACAAATAATTAAGTGTTAATCTTGTTAAATTCTTGTTAAAGTCCTCCCGTGCACACTTACGCGGCTGTCATTTGACAGCCGATCGATTTTTGGCACAACACCGGCCCACATTTCCAGGTTATCAGTGGTGATGCGTAATAAACGCGACATAAATAGCGAAGTGACGTATTTATGGATTTTTCCACTTTATTAGACATATATGGACTGATGCAACATGTACAGCAGAACATATTTACTGCAATACTGGACCTGGATCTAAATTTTAACAGTCACATGAAATCTATAACTTAATTAGCCTAAAGTCATCCTCAAATCGTTATTAAAAAACTCAAGGATTCCTGTCAAAACAGGACACACAAACAGTGCTGCATGCTTTTATTTTCAGTAGGTTGGATCATTAACGTTACTGTGTCTTTATAGGAGTTAATAAAAATAATAATCTGGCCTAAGCCAGGAAAATAGAACATGCCACACCCATCCTTAAGTCACTGCACCGACGTTCTGTTTGTCAAAGTATTTAATTCAAAATTGAATTTTGGTCTAAAAGGCCTTAAATACATTCCAGAGTTACTCATCAGGTATGAACACCTTGACCTCTCAGGTCACCAAGGACAGGTTTCACGAGCAGAACTAAACAAGGAGGCAGATTTTTGTTCTTTTTATGCTCCTAAACATTGAAAAATAAACTCTCTCTATGCCTGAGATGTGTAGAATCTATTGGTTCCTTGAAAGCAGGACAGAAAACAATAATGTTTACTGCAACTTTACTATCAAGGTGAAAGCATATAATTTTCTGCTTGTTTAAAATATAATTTTATTATTTCTTTTTATGCAATGCTTAAAATTTTAAGCAGTTATATTAACATTAAATGCTATTTCTCTTTTTAGAGCATTTGCCCATGCTCTGCCACCTTCCTGATTTATATGCAAATGAACTGCATCACACATGATTAAGCCTTATTGCAAATTCAGTTCTTGGACTGCAGGTGTTGTTTTTTTATTTTTATTTTACCTTTGTGCAGACTATTAGCACGGGAATGCCAAGGTTGTGTGTGAGTGTGTTGTCCCCCAGTGGGAGAACGACAGCCTCGTCTTCTCCTGATGTCGGAGCTCGTCGTGGGGAGGACGGGGCGGCGTCTTCTGGTTCCGAGTATTCCTGGAAAGCTTTTACCACTATATAAAAAAAAAAATAAATAAATAAAAAAAAATCACAGCAATAAGATTAGTCAACTTAGAAAAAGTCAGACAAAAAAAATTTAATTTTCACACTTTGCGTTTTATTCATTGTAACTTCATAAAGATACCTTGTAGAAATTGTATATATACATATATAAATTATTAATTCATTCAACCTTTATTTATACAGGTTAGTCTCATTGAGTCACGAGGACTCATTTACAAGACAGACCTGTTCCAGACAGAACATGGAAAGTACAGACAACAATAAACAATAACAAACTACAGTAAAATGCAGTTAAAAGAAAAGTAGTGTTATAAACAATAAATCAAGTTTCCATATAAAATCAGAATCGGCTTTATTGTCATTGCACTGAAGCACAACGGAATTACATTTTCAGTACAGCCCGTCCAAGAGAACATAAACCCACACCCGAAGGTCTTCAGCGCTGAACCTTCTTAAGGTTCCTAAGACCCGGTTTAAAACTCGGGGTGACCTGTCCTTTCAGGCCGTAGCCCCCCGGCTGTGGAATGCCCTGCCCCTGTCTCTCCGTGTGAACGTCTCTGTTGATTCGTTTAAAACGCAGCTTAAGACATTTTTATTTCGACAAGCTTTTAGTTAAATGTTTTACTGTTTTTTCCAGCTGTTTTTACTGTTTTTATTAATGAGTTGTTATTATTTTTATTTTATTTTAAGTTTTTATTTCTTTATTGTTGTACAGCACTTTGTGATTGTATCTATGATAAGTGCTATATAAATAAAGTTTACTTACTTACTTACTTACTTACTTATTTATAACTGATCTGGGGAGACGGTCTGGAGGCGACTGATAATACGGTAAAATACTAAAAACAAGAACATATTTGCTTTGATGTTTCTTTATCAAATGTTTAAAATCCCCTAAATAAATTAGTTAGTGGACATCAACCTAATATAACAAGCAAAAGCTGCAAAGCTTCTTGTGGTCCGTTTTGGTAGTAATGTGTACTCTTTGCACAGTTTGTACATCCATGAACCTTGACGAAGGTTTAATTGTTGCCAACAGCTACAAACAAAGTCTCTGAGATAATAATAATAATAATAATAATAATAATGTCATCACAATGTCAGCACTGTATGTTTCCATACAATGGCGAAATTAGTCTCTGCATTTAACCCATCCACCACCAGGTGGTGCAGTGGGCAGCTATTGAAAGCGCCCGGGGGGCATTTTGGGGATGAGGCGTGCTGCCCAGAGACGCCACGTGATGTGCAGTGACTGGGGATCGAACCTGGGACTTTCGGGTCCCAAGCCAGCTGCCCTGCCTCTACACCATCTCGGCCCCCACTCTTCATATTCAACCAATAACTGTGAGGTGGATCAAAATGCATCATCCCTCACTTCTCTGCTGTGCTGGAACAACTGTCCAGATATTTTCTATGAGGTTGGTGTGTGTGTGGGAGGGGGGGGGGGGGGGAAGCAGGAAGCTGAGGCCTACTTCCTCAGGAGCTTTGAGAATCCAGTTGGCAGAGAGCCACAAAGCAACACTAACGTATCGTTTTTAGTCAAAGAAACTGGATTTTGTGCGTTGGTCAAGACCCTTTTAGAATACAGGACTGGACAAATGGAGTAGCTTTGTTTAAACAGGATGAAATCTGTATTTTATGGCACAAGAACAATAATGATTTGCCAAGTTCCTGGCAAAAACCAATGCAGACATGTTCCTGTTTTGAGTATCGCTTTACAATCTAGCTGTTTTTATTTGTTTTTTTTTTTTATAAACATTTCTTCTTCTCAGCTAGTATGCTTTCTTTTAGGATTGTCCACTGTCGTCATCACTCTGTTAAATTCAGGTCTCTCTTGTAAATGAGTCCCTGAGGCTCAATGGGATTAACCTGGATAAATAAAGGTTGAAAAAATGAAAAATAACATTCTAATTCAACACTATCCACAACAGCCATCAAACTGAGCAACTTAAGTTTACGCATGGATTACGTCTGAGCTTGAGTCAATTTCTTCATTATAGAAATATAAATTTATGCTTAGTCTAAATGTAATAAAAAAAATAAAAAAAAAGTTTTTGATTCTACAAAGATTAAAGTCCATATAAAATCTCTGCAATTAAAATATTTATTATTTATATTTCATTTAATATTTTTAGTATTATTATTTAGTACACTTTAATATTTAAGATATTTTTCTGTAAGAAAACACATTGTGATGTTCTTTAACACAATGTCTGGTCTGAGGAAAGAAAAGTTAGTGAATTGACTGAGCAGCTTGTATTTAATGCTTTTTAATTTAATGCTTTTTAAGTGGACATTTGACACTTTATCCATGCTGCTGGTTTCTTACCCATAAGCTGCTTTACCCATCTGATCACAACAACAGACTCATGTTCAGGCTGCTGTTTAATACACACCATTTATATTATTATTGTTAGTGTATCTTTTTTGGGTGTAACTGGGACCTTGAGTACACAATCTCGTTCCACTTCATGTACCTCATGTGATGCAGATGACAATAAAATCTCCTTGAACCTTTGAACCTTTAATATGTTTGTTTTTGTCATCATTTTAAACCAACAGGAAATGATGATTTAACACCAAACAGTCTTTGTATTTGGAGTCACTTTAAAAGAAAAAAGAAAAACATAAAAGCCAAAGAGACTTTGCCCAAGCAAGACCTTCTTATCTGTTCCACAAACAAAGGTGAGGCCAAAATGCTTCTGTACTCATCCGGCTTTACATAAATCTATTTTAAATAGAATGAGCTACTTAAAATGTGTATATTTTAGATAAAATATACATCTGCAAAACTAATGCTCATCTTGAACTAATAGTAAAGAAACTACCGTAAGTTAAACTAGAGAAACTGAAAGCTGGTTGCTTAATGATTTTGCAGAAAGCTGCTAAAGTTTACTTGAAATAGACTGAAAAGTTGAAAGAAGAAGCTGAAAAAAGCACAAAAAGCTGAAATGATCAAAAAGTAGCTGAACGAAAATGAAAAAAACTGAAATTAGCAGAAAAAAGCCAAGAATAGCAGAAACATGGTGAAATTAGCAATAAAAAATAGCTGAACATAGCTGAAGAAAGTAAAAAAAATGCAATTAGCAGAAAAGAGCTAAAAACTGAAATAAGTAGGAAGAAACTGAAAAGAACAAAGGTTGAAATCAGCTGAGAAAGCGGAAGAAAAACTGAAATTAGCCGAAAGAGTCAGAAATGAGCAGGAAAAAAGCTAAAGGACATGAAGGAAGCTAAAAAAAGCAGGACCAGAATAAAAGGTGAAATGAGCAGTAAAAAGTAGGGGTGCACCGATAAATCGTCCGGCTGACTTATCGTCCGGCTGATTTATCGTCCGGCTGACTTATCGTCCGGCTGACTTATCGTCCGGCTGATTTATCGTCCGGCTGATTTATCGTCCGGCTGATTTATCGTCCGGATGATTTATCGTCCGGCTGATTTATCGTCCGGCTGACTTATCGTCCGGCTGAATTATCGTCCGGCTGATTTATCGTCCGGATGATTTATCGTCCGGATGATTTATCGTCCGGATGATTTATCGGCCCCGATTTCCTTAATTTTGAGAAATCGGCCGATACTTACATGAGAAACTGATTTTACAGATTTTTTTTTTTAGTTTTAACAATTGTCTGAACTTCATTTATATTTCAGAACACTACCTCATCATGGCCAGTTAAAACAAACAAGTGTTTTTAGGATATTGTTCAAGTGTATGTTTTTCAATAAAATAATATTGGAAAACTGAAGGTACATTGTGACCTTGTAACACCCGACAGTGTCGCTTAGAAAACAAAATCGGTATCGGCCAAAATCGGAATCAGTGGGTCAGACTTTTTAGAAATGGGTGATCGACCAGAAAACTGCAGTCGGTGCACCCTTAGTAAAAAGTTTTGAACAGCACAAAAGGTTTGAAGGATGAGAAGAGATCTGTTCCTCAAAACATGGCTGAAACAGTTAAATATTTCAAAAAGTTAAAATTTCACCAATTCCAAAAAATCACAGCAGTCCTGAATGAGCCGAGTATTTTTGATAAATAGACTTGCACAAAAATTGCAAACAAGAGTTAAATGCTGACAAACGTCAAACGGAGCTCAGTAGTGTGAATAATTTACAAACGTTCACGCAAACTACTTTGATCTGTTTTATGCAACGTCATTCTAAAATACTGTTAATAAAAATCCTGTCGCTGCCACAGAAGTCATTTAGTGAAACGTTTCTTTGAACATGCACTTAAGCAGCAGTAGGCTGAACCTGTAATTTGACAAGAACAGGCTCAAGACGCTCAGCTGACTTTTAGTTACGTCCGTCAAAATGTCCGGCCCACAGACTGAATTCAGACCCACTGACTCTACTTGCTTTTCTTTCCCCAGCACCGACACTGGAAGGGAGGAAAACATGATGCAAGACGTGTGCAAGACTCCCTGGACAAGAGCCACTCACACACACACACTTCAAAACTGCTGGCCGCCCGTGTCACTAATACACACCAGAGTCTGACGCTCAGCAGAGCTTCTGACATCACCAGGCAGAAAGATGCACCGTTTTATAAAACGCTGACACTGACAAACCATTTTAATGTAATTTGCTTAAACAAGAAGTTTCTGCAGCGTTAAAGAGGTCATTGTTTGATACATTTTTCTACTACAAGCGGTTAAAGTGAATGGATTTAGTACAGCAAGTTGGAAAAAATAGACCCACTTAAAATAATTATAGCCTTTTACGTTTGTCTAGAAGCACACTTTAGTCAGTTCTCCTTTTATTTAGCTTCCTGAAAATGAAAAAAAAAAAAAAACTGCTAACAAATGTTACTTCTTGAACAATTTCACTTGACATAATAAAACAGTAATTTGTGTAAAAAATAAAAAAAAAATAAAACCAGCAAGCAGCAACAAAAACTTTAGGAGCATATGTGGACCTTCTGCAAAAGGCTGCAGGATGAACCAACAAAAAAGCAACAAACTTTGAGAACACAGAAGATCAGTTCATAAGCAAGAAATAACTGATTCCAAAAATAACAAGGAGAACATCTGAGTGCATCACACACTCGTCGATTTGCAGAACTCGCCTCCAGCCACAACACACAGCTGAGGATCACGGGCCTCTGATGACGACCTAGAATCGTCCATGACAATGACTAACGTTATGCAGCGCCTGAACCAAGCTTCCCTCCCCAGTAGCCAGTCAAGCAAGGAGTTTCACTCTTATTATGCAAGACTTGCTTTGCTTTCCACCCTGGGATGCTTCAGGCATCTTTAATGTGAGCGGTTTCATCTAGACCAAAAGCACTCTCGGAAAACTGACCAAAACATACTAAACAAAAGTCTTGCAATAAATAAATAAAAATAAAACAGTAAGATTAGAACTATACATTTAGGATTATAAGGGTTTGACTGTCTAGACCAGGGTTATTCAAATGGTGACCCGGGGACCAAATCAGGCCCACGGATGAACTCAGTTTGGCCCACCAATGGGTTCATTTTTAAATAAAACTAATTTTAAACCATAAAACAAAACTTACTTAATGAACATAAGTGCTGGATGTCCGGTCCCTGAGCTCATGGCTTTCAGTAACTGTGTCCCCCTGAGCAATTTAGTTGAATAGCCCTGGTCTAAACAGATGCAGCAGGAAAAAATGTAAACAAATGCTACATTTTCATAACGAAAGAACGTATAAATTATTCAACAATTTATAATTTAGATGGACTTCACTGGACGTTTCATTTCACCGACATCAAGGTAGACTGAGGGATTACTTACTCCTTTGCTCCATTTCTCTCATGTCCTCTGGAGGAATCTTGATCGTGTCCACATGATCACGGAGCACGCTGGCCCACTTCTGCAACGACTCCATGATGGTCCAGGGCCGAGACATGTCCGCAACAAACACAGCTAGGCAGTCGGGTAGCGACTGAGCCGTAACCGCAAACTTAAGAAGGCTTTTGTGGTGCAGGTCCCCATCCAAGATCCACACATTACAGCGAGTCAGGTCTACACATAGATACACAGAATAGTTTTAAGGCATTGCTATTTTTGTTAATCAACTGGAAAGTTTGAAGAAGGTAAACTCACCATCCCGGTCTTCATCGTGGACACTCAAGTAAAGATACTCCAGTCCTCTCCCCTTCTTATTATGATCAGCTCCCTGAAGTTTGGCTATAAGTGTTGTTTTTCCCGATCCATCCTCCCCTAGAACATATATTTTTTTAGTTATATTACTAGTAGTAGCATATGGCTGAGAGGTTAGAGCAGTTGTCCTCCAATGCAAGAGTTGGGGGTTAAATTCCACCAGCAGTCCCATGCCAAAGTGTCCCTGGGCAAGACACTGAACCCCTCATTGCCTCCGATGTGTGTCCTATCGGTGTATGAATATGATCTAAAGCACTGATTATTCTTTGGATACAGAGTGCTGTATGAATGGGTAAATGAGGGCACAGGTTGTGTTGTAAATGTAAAGAGCTTTGAGTATCTTGATAAGCTAGAAAGGTGCTATACAAGGACAGTTCATTTATCATGTTGTAGTATAGAAATTAATATTAATTACTGAACAGCGGCCCTGAAGCATAGCTTAGAGTGCATACAGAATGGTTCAATAATGAAGCTACACTGTAGATCTAAAACTTATCACACTATCAATATCACAAAGGTTTTCAATATAACCAAACAAATAAATAAAGGTTGAATGAATTTTTAAAAAATGACCCCACCCAAGAAGGCTTCTCAGTGTTATTGAGTTCATTATGTCTTCAAAATGTATGAGTAAAAAGATTGTTCAAAAATAATAATGTTTTAATGCCCAGATTTTAAAGTTTATTAGCCCTCCACACCCCTCAGGGTTAGCTACAAAATTAAACAAAGAGTTTCACAGAATAAACCTGATACTCACCAAACACAAGGATATTTTTTCCTGATGGCAACTTTGAACTAGATCTGGTGGAAACTTCGCTCAGTATTGAGGACCTACGAGAAAACAAACGACCATCAGAGATACCTACAGGTTGTTCAGATGTCTAAATCAAAAAATGCTTTCAAGACAATAACATCTGAACAGCGAGTCCACGATGGCTCAAACAGGAAATGATCATATGTCACTGACAGGTCCATTACAGACAACCAAGTATCAATCAAAACTGTACAGAACTGACATAACGACAACAGTATGTGATCATTGTTCTTGTGCTAACTAAATAAGTTGTATACGCTTAAATCTCTCGGCTAGGCTTGGCTGCTACCGTTTATGCTCCTGTCTCGTTAAGAAGCTCTTAGCTTTAGTTAGCCACTACATTTACATGGACTATAAAGACCCCAGATGAAATGAATGGCTGGTTAAAAAAAAACTTGTGAGTAGTTCTAATATAATGAAGAGTTCACGCAACAAAAAAAACCCCGCACAAAACAAGTATGGAGTTGTAACTGTAAATGTATCGCTAGCGCTTCAGCTAGCTGACGTTAGCTCGCCTGTTAGCACGCTGACCGCTAGCTGCTAGCCGGGCCGGTGTTTGACAGGAACCCGCCGCCTGTGACAAAGCACAACCGTGGCGGTGGAGTTTATTCCCACACCCAAGGCGTTTAAGTAACAGTAAAACTTGCCAGAGGTTCTGTCCTTCCTCGTCTTCCTTGTTGTTGTCGCCCGACCCGGTCGGACCCGGGAGCTGTTTCTCCAGAACGGGAGCCATCTTCTTCTCTTTCTACACCCACAAAGGCGAGGCCTCGCTGCTGCCTGGGCACCACTAGCACCGCCTTCGTCCAGGCAGCCACGGGGTACGTCGTATTAACGCCGCCACAGGTATTATTTCAAATGTATTATGAGCAATTTATATTATACAGTGTGGAATAATTGCTATTAATATTTATGTAGTATAATGTAAGAAAAAAAAATGTCACGGACCGTTATGTTTTAACTGTCAAAAGAGGAAACTTTTGGCTACGATCCAACAAATGATGTCATTGTGGCATGATTTTTGTACAGCTGATAGATGAAATCTCGTTTACTGTCTTGTTGCTGGCATTTTTACAGCTCTTGTCACTTTTTTTTAGGCTTCATTAAGATTTTGAACGTACAACAAGCTGAGATACAATTAAATACGGAAGCCCATTTGTGCCACTTAAAAGAAGAAGAAGAAGAAAATAAGACACGATGTGGAATTTTGAATTCATTACAAGAGTTTGGAAGTTGGCATTATGATTGTAAAAATCTTAATAATGAATTTAAAAGTCATATTTATAATATACAAAGTCGCAAATTGTGAATTTAAAACTCACAACTTTGAGAACTCTCAACCTTGACCTCTCTAAGTGGCTTTAAGATTCTGTTGGGACTCCTGGAAGGGACCAATGCAGACATGTTCCTGTTTTTAGTTTTCTACATTCGCCTTATAATCTGGCTGTTTTGCTTTTTTTGCCATCTTATTTTAATTTGTAAAAAAAAACAAAAAAAAAAAACTGCATGCCTCTTTTATGACTGTCTATTGTTGTCGCTCTTGTCCACTGTTGTCGTCATTCTTTGTTGAAATCAGGTCTCTTGTAAATGAGTCCTCGAGGCTCAATGGGACTAACCTGTCTAAATAAACGTTGAATGAATATTTGTGTTTAAAACAGTTACAAAAAAGTTTTAACTATGAGATGCAAAGTTAAATTTATGAAGTTCAAAGTCATAATTATAAGATGTAAAACCCCAAATTCTAAGTTTAAATTTATAACTAGGGCAGCACAGTGGCGCATAGGGATGTAAATCACCAGCTTTACCACGATATGATATTATATTGATTTGTTTGTACGACGACACAGTTTTTCTCAATATCGCAAAGTCTGTCAGGATACGATTTCGATTCTATTCGATTCACAAATCTGCGATCGATATATTGCAATATCAAATGCCCATCTCATTTACATATAAATAAATTTACACAAACAATTCAAATATGATTTAACCATTTTATTTCTGTTATTACAGGCACCAGGCATTTAAAAAAAAAAAATAATAATTTTTTCTTAATGAAAAAGCAGCTCTGCGTAACATCTACGTCACCACGTACTGGCGTAGTTGTGTCACGGCTTTTTCTGTTTGGGTTGAAACTGAAGTGGCCGCTTCAAACCGAACAGAAAAAGAAATGCGTCGGTGAAACGCTGTAATCATATCGAAATATCAAAAAATGTGCTTAAAACTCATATCACCGTTATTGAATAAAATTATATCCTGATATATATCGATATCGAATTATTGTCCAGCCCTGCCCCCACGACCCAAAAATAAAAAAGTGGGTAAACGATAATGGAGATGAATACACCTTAATTTAATCCTATACTGTAATAATAATTTAATGCTCAACACAGTAAAGATTTCCCAGCAGATAGAGCTGTTCTTAATATTTTAAAACCGAATTTGATGTTTTCGTAATTTCTCTTCATGGATTAGATTATAAAAGTTAGTGCTATTGGTCAGCACTAAAGTAGAAAATAAATTAAAAAACAAAAAAGTTAAGTACTGTAAGACTTTTTCAACTCAGGCATTTTGATTAATAGATGGAATAACTGACAAGCATCAATTCATCCCAAATCACTGGTGTTTTACATGTTGCTTATCGCCCAACTTTGCAATATTAATAGTGATTTCTACTCGTATACATATTGCGTTACATTACTGGTAAAATTCTCACATTTTCATTACTTTGTTTTGGCTAACTGTACCTAATATACAGTAAATTATTATGGTAAAGAGACAATAATTATTACTTTTATATACTATTTTTTATAAATTCTACCTATTATTACTAATTTTTATTGAAAACTTGTCTATCAGTGGAGTATAGCCTGGGAACAGCAGTTTCCCTCATTCCTGCACGCGCTCATTCTTGTGGTGCGCTGTAGGCATGCATAGCGTTTTGGACAAGGTGCAGTAGGTGCGGGCGGGCCACAACCCCACCTAAGAAATGTATTCACCCTACAAAGTAGTTCCTTCTAATAAACCAAGTAAATTACTTATTACTGAGCTTGTTGTGTATTGTTTGTTTGGTGTATTTTTCAACTATTTTTACAAGTTTAAGTGGAATTTACAATGATTTTTAGTGATTTGTTTGTTTAAAAAAAAAAAAAAAACTTGTTACTGTTATGGGGCAGTACCATTCAGTGACCCGCATTCATCAAATGTTTATCAAGCATTGTCGCCATCATGGTGGGATCTTATTTAACCAGTTCTGTGGTGAGAGCGGGCGTGTGCGGTCAAGCATTTATCTTGTAATCAGAAGTATCTGTGTTTGATCCCTGCTGGAACATTTATTTGAATTGAAAATGATATTTTTCATTCATTCATTCAACCTTTATTTACCTCGAAGACTCATTTACAAGTGAGACCTGTTTGGACAGACAATAAAAAGTGGTGAAAAATGACACATAGGATTTGGAGACAACAAAAATCCTAACATGCTCTTAATCTTTGGTTGAAGGTTAACACCATGATAATGAAAAAAAAAAACTCTCGCACAATGACGCCGACACTCCGCAGGGGACGGGGGACGCAGGGGCGGTGAGCCTGTCCAGAGACAACGCACAGAGGCACTGCAGAGTTCCCTCTGGAGAGATCCGTACACAGTCGGGGGGGTGTCGAGGACGGCCAAGGACGAATCCAAAGAGTCCTGAATTGATGACAGAATGTTTATTCAGCTGGGCTCCTCTGAATAGTCCGTAGACTTCCTCGGTAGGAGGGGATGGAGGAGCAGAGCATCAGGTTTACACAACTTCCAGGTGAATTAAGATAAGATGGCCGGTCAAGGCCAGTCAGCCAAATTCAGATAAACACGATTGTTTTGGGGACAGGCAGAACTTTTACTGACTTCTACCTTGAGTCTGCGTTGGTCCACTTGGTTCCAAAACGTCCAGATTAAATGGCCACACCAATGGACCATGCCTGAGAATAATCCCCGAGCGCTATAAACATGCGGGAGTGGTGGTACCGAGGTTAGAGAAGGCAAGCCTGTGATTGGAAGGTCGCTGGTTCAACTCCTGGTACCAACAACATCATAAAATGTGAGTGGGAAAGGTGAAGCACCCACACCTGCCTCCACCCTTATTTGCCCCGCTCTGGGCCATTGAGCAAGGCCCTTAACCCCCACCATCTGCTCCCCCGGGCGCCCTAGATAGCAGCTCTGTGCTCCACACAGAGGGCTGTAGCTCGGTGGTCTGTGGTTGCGTCAGGAAGGACTTCCAGCGTAAAAATAATCGCCAAGTCTTCGTGTGACTTAGTTCGCTGTGGCGACCACTGAAGAAGAAGAAGAAGGGAGCAGCCAAAAGAAAGAAAGAATATATATATATATATATATATATATAGAAATATATATATATACACATGTGTGTGTGTGTGTGTGTGTGTGTGTGTGTGTGCGTGTTCTGCAATCTGCTGTCTCTCTCATGTGTCAGAGAGTTGTTGTATTGTGTTAATTAATTTAGTCATGCATCCAAGTGGTCAAAGTTTCCCCGTTTCAGGCGGGTGTGGATGAGGGGGGGGGCGTCCGTTTCTCTGATTTATTAGACCAGACTGTTTTTCACAAGACTCAACCTCGACACGCGGGAGGAAGGGAAAAGGCGACAAGTTTGTGCACAAAAACAAACAAAACAACAACAATAATAAAATATTAAGCAACATATGTCCTATTTTTACCACAGAAAATGCAACGTGCTTAGTGATTCAGGAAACTAATGTCCGCCCCACTGATATTTTGGCTCAGGCGTCGCCTCAGGTCGTGGAGAATCTACATCTCTTTGTTTCCTTCGGCTCCAGTCAGGGTCAGCTGGGCGACGAGTTGCAGACGATGAGTTTCTCTCTTGAGTGCAGTTGTTTTGGCAGATTCTTTGGAGCCTCCCTGAGTCTCATCTGTGCGAAGCAGGTTGGTTGGGGTAGCGGTTACACTCATGGGAGTGCATTCCAGAGCTTTTGCATCATGTGAAAGTCAGCCTTCGCTGCCTCTTTGTCAGCGCTGAGATCTGCCGAGAGCGGGAAAAACAAACAAGATGGAGCCTATGTTCTCTTTTTAACCCAGCAGCTGAAAACATTTAGTTATGTGTTTGAATTTATACGTTTGTTCAATCATCGCTTCTTCCATTGACATTTACTTTTATAAATGCTTTTGATTTGTCATCTTTTATTTGTTCCGTGTGTTGTTATACTGCATGTCAGGTGCTATTACGCTGTTACGGAACTATAATGTCCTACAGGCAGAAATCCAATAAGAGGGAATTTATCGACAGACGTTCAGCCTTCCTCCACAATTAATGTGGTTCTTCTGTTTCTTTTCTTTTCTCGAGTTTTATTAATGATTCGGGTTGAGTTCAAACCTAAATGAAAATCTGGAAAATGCGTCGCTATTAAAAAAACAAAAAACTTTACAGTGACTCACACCAGGGGCGATTCTAGAATCTGACCTTTAGGGGTGCTTAGCCCCCCAGTGCTGACAATGGCTCTTTGCTTGAACAACACAGTGGCCATTGGTGTCAGAATCATTGATAATCCTCTAAGGGCTATTCAACAAAACTGCTCAGGGGGGCCACACTTACTGAAAGTCAGCAGCTCAGGGGCCAAACATCCAGTAATTAAAGTCATTATGTCAATAAACCAAGCATTACAATAATCTGTTACCTTTTAAATTTGTTTATTTTGTTGCATTGTATCGTAAATGCAATGACCCCAGAACCGGCCCCAAATTTATTTATTTTTTTACTTTATTTTTTTAGGGGTGCTTGAGCACCCCCCCCAAAAAGAGGCTAAAATCGCCACTGACTCACACTTTTGTAATTCATGTAGGTCTTAAGTTTGAATCGTTATGATCTTCAAAAGGTCTTAAAATGTCAAATTTATCTGACGGGAACTTGTGAAACTTTCACAAATGTACAGAACATGTTAGGAGTGTAAATAGATGTTTGCAGAAAACAGTATTTTTGTGTTTTATTAGTTATTGTTGTTGTTTTTGCAGCCTTTCACCATGTTCCACAGCTTTGCGCTGTCAGCTGTGATACCACAGGAGGGCAGTGTCTTCTCAATAATTTCATTTTAGTGCTTCATTTTCTTAAAACTTTAACAAAACCATGTTATATTAGAATAAATACGAACAAAGTAATTGTTTTTGTGTGTTTTAGTTAAAAAAATAATTCTATTCAGTTTTATTTTAACTCTCTAAGTTTTTTTTTACTTGTAAATTCAGCCCTGATTAAGTAGATAAAGGACATGGTTCATGCCGGTATGTGATTAAAGTTCAGTCTCGGCGGTTTTGAGTGACTAATCAACAGTCTATTGTTAAATTGTTAAAGCTTTCTTCCAGTTTCACTATAGGCCAGAACAGGTTTGTGTGTAATGTCGTGGAAAATCCCAGTGGTTCCTTTCTGTACGCAGATAAAGAAAGATAAAGGGCTTTGTATTGTCCAGCTGTTTTAATTAGATTACACGAGGCGTTCACAGACACATTCAGCTCACTACTGATGCTGATCGAAGCTCGCATTGTTTCTCAAAGAATTTTCACAAGTCGACGGCAGCTCAGGTCTCATTTGTAAACCTGACTGATTATCTGGTAGGGTCAGTTGTTGAATTTCATGAAGTCTCACTCTCACTCAACTTGTCCCATCGAGGAGACAAAATCAAAGAGGTGCAATCCTTTAAATATCACGACGGTTGTAGCAGATTTCCACTTCTCCTTCTATACCATAGCATAAATCACAGCCTCATATTAAATAGTTAACATGACGCGTTCGTTAATTAGCGCTTCAGTTTTCTTGGTTTTACCGTCTCAGAATAAGCTCATTATGTTGGTCAATATAAATACTTTAAAATCTATCACCTTGCATTTTTATTCCGTACATTAAACCCAAAGCTAAACAAATAAATTGTATTATCTTCATCATCATTGCCTGTTACCAAAGGCGGAGGGGCAGTGAGGTTTTTGCCCACGTCTGTGAGCGTGTGGACAGATTTTATTGTAACTCTCAAAGCAGTCACTCTGTTGGTGTCAACTCAATTCAAGATGGCCACCGCCACCAACTGAGCTTGGGGAACACAAAAATGGCCATAACTCACTCAGTTTTAGATACTGAACTAAAACTTGGTGTGGTCATGTCTAACACATGCTCCAAATGTGAAAGGTCTCTGCTTAAAACGTATAAAACGTAAAAATCAACCCTGTTTGTCTGTTAGCAAAATATCCCATGACCTATTGGATGTAATGCAATGAAGCTCTGAGAAACATGTCGATGAGCTTTTTGTTTACAGCTCATTAACATTTGGAATCAGCCCATTTCAAGATGGTTACCACAGCCAAAACGAAAATCGATACGACTTAGTCCGTTTGACAATAATTAGGCTAGTTTGGTGTGATAGTAGCTGCAACTGTTCTCCAATCTCACAGTAGTAAAGATAAGATAATACTGATAATGATCTCATAAAAACATTAAGCGTTTTATTTAGGGATGCACAGTATTATCGGCCTTGTATCAGCATCGGCCGATATTAGTGTTAAAGTTCAATATCGGACATTCCATCAAAATAACTCCCTGATACGAAAGACGCTGTTTTTGTATGACAACGCCGCGACAAGGATGTCTGCAGCGCCAGCACAACATGATGACGTCACACGCGCCTGCCTGATCTGATCACGGTGGAGAGGAAGAAGTCAACATGTCGGCGGTGTGGACGTTTTTTTTTGTTGTTGAAAATGTCGGATTCTGAATTGATTTTTGGACTATACGTTGAGCCTCGCTAAATCGTCCCCAGTCGGAGATACTCTTCCGATGTACCCGAGTTACAAGCCATCGTTCCCGACGCCATTGAGAAGCTAATAGCTGATAGAACGTGGGTGCGTCAAGCGTTAACCCCATTAGCATGATTAGTCGTACGACACAAAGGATAGACAAAAACTTTGAACTTCAAAAGTCTGTCCTTCACGCACAAGAGTGCAGAGGGTCCCACACTGCAACTAAGAACTCGCAGCAAGCCTCCACAAAGGAGACAGCTTCGCAAGTGACTAATGCTAATAACATTTAACACTTTTCATTTAATATACGTTAAAGTGCTTTGCATACTGAATATGTCACCAGCTCTTACAGCTGTACGCAATATTTGTAGCAAATAAGCCTAAATAAAAGGGTTATGTTCTGACAAAGGAAAGTACATAAAAGTATTGGTATCGGTTATCGGACAAATGAGTTTTAACATATCGGCATATCAGATATCGGCCAAAAATCCAATATCATGCATCCCTAGTTTTATTTGCGAGGTTTGACCAAAGCGATTTTAACTTTGTCATTCAGCATGTTAGTTTAAACGTCTGCGTTAAATAAAGGCTGCGGGCGATATGCATTCTTTTATACATGTATTTGTGAGTATATCTTTTTCAAAACCTCTTAAGCTTCCTTTAAAATAATCCTTGCTTTGGTTTATTATAGGCAAACATAAATGAGTATTCTAACTTTCAAAATACTTCTTTGCATTGCAGAAATACCGTGTGTAACGCTGAACGGAGATCCTGAATCATTTCCTTTTGACAAAGGAGAAGAAAATTAATTTTATTAAGCGTAATGGCGGTGGTCTGGGTACACAGTCGCCCCTGGGCCTCGCTGTTTGTTCAACAGGGAAAGAAGTGATGTAGTGGGTGTGTGAGGGAGGGGAGGGGTTAAAGATTTGGGAGGTGTAGATTGCAGACAAGGCAGTGCTGGGGTTGGCTGCATTGTGATAGCGACAGATGTCCAGAGAACTGCGAGGGACACTCCTCAGTTGCAACACTCTGCACCTCTGAGAGCAGGGCCGGAATCTGCAGCTGTCACCCCAAAAGGCTTTTTCCTCCATTACCGCATCCACACGCAGACTGGGAATAAGGCACCAGGAGAATTGTCTACAAAAGGTACAGGATCTTTTTTTCAGTGTTGAAAGAAAGAAAGCAAAGAGAATGAAAGAAAAAGAAAGTTGCTCTTTATGCTTTGTTCTCTTTTCTTGCCTTTGATTTAATTCTGTTTAGGATGATGCAATAGAAGCAGGAATCTCCTTTCACTGTTTTAGTTCACAGGTAGTTTTAGATGACCAAAGATCCTCTGGAGATGGGAAAAAGATGCTAAAAGTTGTAGTTGATTTAAAAAAAATAAAAAATAATAATAAAACCTTAACGCTTCTGTTAGAGCAACAATGTTCAAATCAGTGGGAACAAAAAAGGGCAGAGCAGCTGAGGGAGGCAGCAGTGGGTGGGTTGAGAAGTGTGTGTGGGGGGGCTCTCTACATCCTCCTTATTCATGCGTTCATGGCAGGTTTATAGTTTTATTCTGCTCCAGTTTGTGTTACTACAGCAGATCTCGGCGTGTGTTTTCTGCCAGCTTTAACCGGCCCTCGGCGTCGGTGAGAGGGAGCAGTCTACAGATGAGGGGGGTCCTCATTCTTTGTTACTCGCCAGTATGGGCTGCCGGAGGCTCCATTTGCATTTGCATGTGTCCATCTTCCCCAATGCCATCCAGAATCGAGTCGGCACTTTGAATATTGTGTTTCTTACAGTGGTATTAACAAGAAAGCTTCAGAAATTGATGCCTAATTATTACTATGTCCTCTGTATTTTTTTTTTTTACCTTTGTTCGCCAAGGACACTTGTGCAACACTGGGCTGTTTGCTACTAATAAATACGTAGTTTTATCATTAACATGCTTGTAAATACTTGTTAAATTTGATTTTTTTTTTAATGCGTCTGTACAACTTTTTCTACTTAATTTATGGCGCATCTTGTGTTGATTTTTTTCATTGCATTACTATAAACATTTCTTCCTATAGCCACGACACCAAACTGACCTGCAGCCTTAAAGTTCCAACTTTTAACGTTCACCCATGTTCCATACTGTATGAATAGTATCTAAAATGATAATTGTGATTTTAAAGCCAATATAATGCAGCTTATCTTGTACTGGTGAGAAATGATGGCGTACAACAGCAGCTTTTATCAGTTTTAGTTTCAGACAAGCCTGTTTGTTGAGGATTTTCTGAAACACTATCTCTAACACAAAGTTGAACTTCCTGTTCTCTGTTCTAACGCTGCCATGTTCTCTGTGGCAATCACTGCAAATATACACTTCCTCTGCAGCCAACGCAGCATCGAGGCTTTAATTAAAAAAATATCTGTAGTAGTCCCGCAGTTGCTCAACTCACAAACAGATGTAATGGTTTTACATGAGTTTGCATTTAACAGAATTGGACGTACATTTTTGGCGGGATGTCATGTGAAACCAACCACAAGCTTTACATGATGTCTGTGCGCTTTGAGAAGGCGGTGAAACGAAATAGGCTACTGTACTTTCTAGTGGGTTTTTTTTCACGGTGGGAGAAACGTACAGTTCTGCGTGTACAGTATGGACGTTCACGTTGGACTTGTGGGATCATTTGGCATCGAGCCTCACCAGACATTCCTGAAGGAGCAGAGAGACTTTAGGGCTGTCTGACCTCAGCAAGGTTCCCAGGCACTAACGGTTGTTTTCCAGACAAACTGTTTGGGGCAAAAAGCAGTTTCCCAGTCCAACTTCTTGTTCTGTCACAGACAAAATACTTCTCTACTGAACTGGATACTCTACATTTGAAGGAACTATCGTTTTAGATAAACATGCAACAAGCTCTTTTATTTAATCCAGCAGATGTGTGTGAACCAGTCGGAACCATTTACAGATGCATATTTACTTTCACTGAAACCAAAAGAAATTTACCTATTTTATACCTATTGTCCACTGATTTAAACTTTAACCAACGTATGTGCCATAATGGCTCATTGTTTCACACATAGTTTATAGGATCTAATCAAAAGACCACTGAAAAATTATCTTTTTTTTTTCTGATTTTCTCTAATTTTACTATTTATATGTATGTATTTGAATACAAATAACATTTGTTTTATTATCTAATGAATTGACAACATCTCTTCTAAATTTCAAATAAAAATGTTGCCAGTCAGAGCATTTATTTTCAGAAACAAGAAATGGTTAGAATAACAGAAATGTTTTCAGACCTAAAATATGAAAAAGCATAACCCAAGTAAGATGAAGACCAAGCAGCAGAAGCTCTGGATGTACCAGAAGAAAAAGATGCAAGGCAAAGGTTTAACTTAAGAAGATAATTTTTATGACAGCTTTCATGCATCTTGACATGTTCTCCAGTCTGTCACATTACTGTTGGGTGACTTTTTGTCTTGGTGGCACAAAAATCAGCTCAGCTGTGTTTGATGGCTAACTACCATCCATCTTCTTCAAGTCAGAGGAATTCAATGTGTTTCAGGCCTGGAGATCAGGCTGGGCATGACAGGGTCTTGATTTGGTGGTCCTTCATCCACACCTGCACCCTATTGAGACTCATCCCTCTTCCAGTAACGCTGAAATTAGACCCTTCTCGCTCAAACTTTTCCTTTTCCACATTTTAGGTTTGTTTTTTATTATTCCAATTCCTTTGGAGGTACTACTAGCCCTATTACTGCCATCCAGCCTACCTATTGTGAGAGGTTTATGACCAAAGCAGTGGTTTTTATACATTTCCTCATTAAATAAGATTTGGTTCAGTGATCGCCTTATCAGCACTTCAAGTAGAATGAGGTGTGCTTGTGTTGGATTTCAACAAACATTAGAATGGAATGAATGTCACGCTTGTGGAGATGCTAAATTTGGAAACATTAAGTGGTTTCTTAATTTGTTCCTGAGCTGTAGATTTATATGTAAAAAGAAAAGAAAACATACACAATGTCTCTTTTTACTTTTCTAGGAGCCATCATGGGAGCCAAACTGAGCAAGAAAAAGAAAGGATATGACGTTAGCGATCCCAAAAGCAAAAACGATGAGACCCCAGCAACAAATGCCGCTAAAGTGGAAGATGGAGCCCCATCCACGGGAGCCGAGTCGACGCCTGGGAACAACGGTGTCGTTGAGGAGACTGTTGTGTCAGCAGTAGCTGAAGCTGCTGTAGCTTCAGAGGAGCCGAAAGCACCTTCAGATGAGAAAGCTCCTGCAGCTAAAGAAGAGGCTGCTCCTGAACAAAAATCAGAAGCCAAGGAAGCTGCACCAGTGGCAAAGGAACAGGCTGCAGCAGAACAAGCAGCTCCTGCTGAGAAGGAAAAGGCTGTGGAAGCAGCTCCACTTGCAGAGGAAAAGCCTCTGGTTGTAGAGGAAAAAGCTACAGTAGCAGAAAAAGCTCCAGAACATCCAAAATCTGCTCTTCCAGAAGAACCGGTACCTGTAGCTACAGAGGAAGTTGCTCCAGAGCAGAAATCAGCTGTCGGTGAAGCATCTCCAGTCGAATCCAATAAACCATCTCCCATAGAAGAACCTGCTGCATCAACAGCTCAAGCAGAACCAGAGAAGCCAGAACCCAAAGTAGAGGAGCCAACTGCAGAGCTGTCAATGGCTACGACAGTCACAGAAAGTGCATCTGCTCCAGCATCAGAAGAACCAGTGCAAGTTGAGGCTGAAACTGAGTCTACAGTTGTGCCCGAAGAGCCTCCTGCATCTGTGGCAGAACCACATGTTCTGGCCAGCACAGAGGCAGAGCCAGATCCCACCCAGGAGCACGTTACTGTGTCAGAAGCCACTGTGGAAGAAAAAGTTGTTCCTACCACTGTCTCAGAAGCTGAGCCTGCAGGAGAGATGGAATCAGAACCCAGACCAGAGACCAAGCAAGTTGGGGGTCAGGCAGCAGAAACTGTGGAGGTACCAGAAGTTAAAGTGCAACAAGAGCAAATGACAGAACCAGAACAACCAGAGTATGTGGAGACAACTGAGCCAGAACCTGAACCAGAACAACCCACAGGACCAGAGGTAGAACAGTCACCAGAGCCTGAACAAGTAGAAGAAACCGAACCACAACCAACCCTGGCTGCATCTGACACTACTGAGGCAGAATCATCTGACGCCTTGGATGCTTCAGCTCAACATGTCTTCAGTGAAGCTCATCCTGCAGAGGAACCACCACCAACTGAAGCAGCAGAACCTGCCCCTGAAGTCATCATCTCACAGTCCGTTTCCACCAGCAGCATGACTGTTGAGTCTGATAAAGTAGCCTTGGAGGAGGTAGCGTGCCCAGAGAACAAGGTGGAAACCAAGTTGGAAAATGGAGATTTAGAGAGCCCGTCTGTCCCAGAGAACATGGCAGAAGCCGTTCCAGCAGTGAACGGGCAGTGCAGTGATAATATAGCTGGGCCGGCCGCACACTGAGACGAATGTGTTAACGGGAATGAAAATCTAGAGGAGATGTCCGTTAAAGAGCTGAGTGAGTTTGAACTGAAAAAGGACTTGTGTGAGGACGTCCAGAAAGTTCCTGATGCGGTCGCAGACATGGTGGAGAGTCTCAGCACTGAGGTCACTCAGGCAGTCTGAAAGGAAGCCATCCTTTGCATCACTGTGAATTCAATCCTGGTCCTCGATGATGAAAGCCTCCAAGTTATCCCAAACAACAGCCAGGCTTTCTGACACGCTTTAACCACTGCACTGTCTTTCTGTGGTGGCTCAGGAAAAGTTTCCTCGAGTAACCAAAAAAATGATACGACCACGTGATGAACGTTGACAGACAGAGGCAGGTAGTGAATGAGATTAAAGAGCAGAAAAGAGACATGAGTTGGTAATTTTAATCCAGGCAGATTCTTATAGTGGACAGCTCGTCAAAAATACCCATCAACAAACATGGTACTAATTACTGAATAAATAAATCTGTGTGTTTTAGGCCGGTAAGTACTACGATCTGTCAATGGAGAAGCATTCATCATTAGCATATTACTGGGTGTAGGGCTCCATTTGTTCTTTCTGTTGTTTAAAGCAACATGACTGAAATGTTTTGGCCTTTTATAATACTGGTATCTGTAAGAACTGTTAATTTTGAATTGATTGTTCAGAATAGAGAATAAAAAAAACGTTGTAGTCCAAGTGAGCTTCTTTTTATGCATTCTCATCATCAGTTGCAACTCTAGATAATGCTTTGGTTTGTTTTACAACAAAAGGTTTTAATTTCCTTTTACCTACACAAAAATATATTTGCGATGTTTTAGATGTTGAAAATATTTGGATCCTCCTCTGCGTTGATGTTATTAGTTTGACTCACCCATCAGAATATTACGGATTTATTAAAACTAAAAATGGCTGTGATTGCTTTCTGCTGCAGCTAAGATCCTGACTAGTCAGAAGTACCGTATTTTCTGCCGTACACGTCGCACCGCCCTATAAGTCGCATCAGCCCAAATATGTCTAATAAAGTGGAAAAAACATAAATACGTCGCATCTATTATGTGTCACCGCTGACGCGTCGCATTTGTTACGCATCACCGCTGATAACCCAGAAATGTGGGCCGGTGTTGTGTCAAAAATCAAGTGGCTGCCAAATGGAGGCCGTGGGAGCATGCATGGGAGGACTTTAACAAGAATTTAACAAGATTAACACTTAAAAACAATTATTTGTTTGCTCAAAATTATAGTAAAGGTGTGTCTCAGTCTAACTTTTGCTTAATAAATTTACTTTGACGGTCAAATCAGCTGCATTTCAAAAACTGGTACGCGGTAGTAGGAACGCGCAGAGGGACGAGTCGCTGCTCATTTCTTTGAAATTTAACAAGATAAACACCTAAAAACAATTATTTGTTTGCTCAAATTTATGTGTCTCAGTTGAATTTTTACTTAATAAATGCACTTCAATGGTCAAATTAGCTGCATTTCGCCAGGGCGGCGCAGAGAAATGAAGCTGATTTGACGATTGCTCCAGGTGAGCTGGATGAAGGTGCAGTATATGGCAAGCCGATTGTGTAATTAATAGCCACTTTTAACTATTACATGATACGACGGCATGCCATTCAACTTAAATGCCATCTAGCAGCTGAAAATGGTACTGTTCAACATTTTCAGTCAGAATGAATGAAAACAGTCATATCTCAGCCAACGTCACTTGGGCGTATAAGTCGCAGGGCATGCAAATTATGCAAAAAAACTGACTTATACAGTGAAAAATACGTTACTGCAAATAACCCCAATTCAAAATATCAAAACTATACCTTAAAATCGATTAATCCTGTCTACACAGACATGGAACCACTTAACTAGTTGTCAGAAAGTTCTGCAGACAAACCAAACAGTTGCACCAAACCCAGAGAAATGAATGCGTTTTCAGGAGCAATCTGATTATTTGTCACGTCTCGTGTTTTGTTGCTGAGGCTTGATGCTATGACGCCCAGCTAACATTTTGCAGATCCATACTGACAGGGGGAACTCAAGGAAGGGGGAAGGGTAGGAATGTGTGCAGGGAAAAGAAAAGAGGGGGGGCTATGGGATCAAAGGCTTTGATGCTGCGCAGAAAAAAAATCTCTTCTGGCTGAGGATATTTTCAGACACTCGCAGCCCGTCGTAGACGACAACCATCGTTTTTACATTTAAGGCCTCTTGCTTGATGTTGACACACCTGCTGCTCCCATTAATGCCCCACTAGCCGGACTTTGTCCTGCTTAGAGAACAGATATTAACAGAGAAAAGCTAAAAAAAGGTTTTGTCTTTAACTGTTAGCTATACAAAGTGGAGAGGGGTGTGTTCATATGTGTGATGGAGTGAAACATAAGCAGGGCGTCCATTCATCTCGTTTTCTTCACCCACTTTTTTTATTTTGGGATCAGGGGAGCCTTTCTCCATCAGTCACTGTTATGGAAGGTGAGATACACTCTGGACACATCGTATGTCCATGACAGGGACAGATAAAGACAAACAGCCACTCACTCCCACACCTATAGGGACAATTTAGAGTTGCCAGTGAAGCTAACTAACATGTTTTACATGTTTCTGGTCCGTGGGAGGAGATCGGAAAACCTGGAGAAAAGGGGTTCTGCACAGAAAGAACATGCAAAGGCCCCAGATCAGGAAGCAACACTGCAACCTTCTTGCTGAAAGGCAGCAGCTCTAACCACTGCTCCACCGCGTCGGCATCAGCGCATTTGATGGTGA